AGGGGATAATAGGACACCCGTGAAGTTGGAGTGTGTAGTTGGGCTTTAGGGTATAGGTTGGGGGGGAGGGGGGGGGGTTCAGAAATAGAATAGAATAAAGAATGAGATAGTCTATATCATGTATCGATCATAGGATCACTCTATGAATAGGTCAATTCTCTGTGACCTCCCACCGTTCACGACATCCCTTGCTTCTCGCAAGAACAGCTCCTCGGTGGAGGAGAAGCATCGATGGTCCCCTTCGGTCAACTTGCTTGTGCCTGCTGTTACCTACCGTAGGACCTCCGTTAGACCATTTTCTCTACTAAATATTAGTAGCATTACGTGTATTACATTCATCATAAAAATGACGAAATGTGCTTTTATTTACTTTCTATAGTTACAAGTGGTTCGAAATAAATTTTCACTTTGGAAGAGGAGGTTTGATTTTAACTCTTTTTTTTATCCCATAACAATAATAACATATCTCGTGACATCCCACAAAGTGGGGTCTAAAGTAATAAAATCAAAATTTCGTTGGATTATGGATAAGTTATTTAATATGAGCCAACGCCCCATGGTATTACTAGAACAAAAAGGCTCAATGCTTATTTCAACAAACAGCTCAGGTAGATAGATCTTCTTATAAATCACTTTTGCATGACAAACTCAAAAGGGCTATTTTTGCCCATAGCAATGAGTGAGCAATTCCAGTCATGAAGATCCAACAGAAGTTTAAGATAAACAACATTAACATAATTCAGATACCAGAGGAAGATAAGTTCATATTCATCCTTCAAATTATCGAATATTCTCCCTATGAACACTATTGACTTCACTCAACGTTTGAAGAAACAAAGATTCTATGCCTATCTAAATATCCGGCCAAAAGAAGTAGCTACAATAATATACAACGAGTAGCTAGCATGATCACAGTAGATTAGGTAGATTTCTACTATATATATGTGTATGTACATCCCATTATCCATAAAAGATTCTGGCTAGTTGGTGATCCTGATCATGTCTTCTAGAAATCTCAAACTTCCAGCAAAAAAAAAAAAGTGAACTCTCAAAAATCAATTATTCTACACCTCAGCTTTCATCTGCATGATAGCCAGAGTTGAGTCTGTACGATATCCATGAGAGTGAATTGCAGAGGAAAAAGAAAGAGATGTCAGAAAATGCCGGACTTTAGAGTTAAAACCATCAACCAGCAGATTGTGCAACAATTAGAAGAATGATGCTATGATAATTTTTTTGAGACAAGGGTAACTTTGTATTCACACCAAAAAATTCATCATCCCAAAAAATGATGAATTGGAAACTTACATCCCACCCATGGGTATACTTTACAAGTTTCCTTTAAAATCAACTAAATCTACTATATCCCCTACAAGATTCTGTTTACACCAAAAAAACAAAAGGCTTATACAATTCATTCTAATCTTCTGTAAGTTAGTCTTTGTCCCTCAAAACTTCTTAAATTTCTTACTTTCCAGAGGGTCCACCATATGCAAACAGGGATAGTTCTCCACCAGTGTTCATTTCTTCCTCTATTCCCAATACCTTTCCAGCTATTTAGTAGTTCCTTTGTTGTGCTAGGCATCATCCATTTAACTCCCAACAGAGCCAAAAACATGTTCCATAGGCTCACCGCTGCCTTACGATGAAGGAACAAATGGTCATTGACTTCTGTTTCCTGTTCACACATGACACCTCTTGAACAAAATTGCCATCCCCTTTTCTGCAAAGCTTCATGTGTTAGACAAGCCTTTCTACAAACCAACCAACAAAAGCAAGCTACCTTTGGGGGGCATTTGGTCTTCTAGATTAACTTCCAAGGCCAAATGTCTACCATTGACTGCCTTGTGTTAAGGTTCCAGTAACATGATTTCACTGTGAACACACCCTTGTTATGTAATTTCCATCTAGGTTTGTCAGGCCTCATAGATAAAGCAGGGTGTGAGTTTAGTACTCCCAATAGGTTAGCAACTTCCCCAATTTCCCAGTCATTTAGTGCTCTTCTAAAAACAAGGTCCCATCCTTGCCGACTCCAAGCTTGGGATACAGAGACATTCCTTTGCGTACTCAAAGTGTAAAGATGTGAAAAGGAGTTTCTAAGACTGTCTTCTCCAATCCACACCTCATTCCAGAAATCAGTTTTCAAACCATTTCCAACAATGATTGACATGTTGAAATGAGGCCATAATCTTCTTATGGTTTTCCAGACACTACATCCAAAGGTTCCCGCAACCTCCTCAGTTGTCCAGTGATTGAGTAAACCATACTTTCCAGCTATGAATCTTCTCCAAATGGCCCTCTCTTCTGAGGAGAACCTCCAAAGCCATTTCTGCAAGAGAGAGGTGTTTTGTTTGCTGAGGTTCTTCAGGTTGAGCCCCCCTTGTTGAGTGTTGAGAGTCAGTTCATCCCATTTCACAAGGTTATAACCTCTCTTCTCCTTGTTTCCTTGCCATAGAAAGGCTCTCCTTTAACTTTTAACTATATGATGCTTGCGGTGGGAAAATAAAACGCACATCAGGACTGGGAGGTGGAAGCTTTATAATACAACATATAAGGTTATTCAGAATACTAAATATGGCCCATGCTCAGTTTTGGGGTAAATATAAAATGCCTCGTGGTTCTTGACGAAAGAAGAAAAATAGAAGGTTAAATTCAGCAGATAAAAAGGATTTCAACAAAACCACCTCATGTGATGTTGTAAGGAACTATTGGGCATCATGACTTCTTTTGCAATGCAAAATGAAGAGGACGTTTTTCATTTGGAGAAGAAAAGGGCTGAATGTAATAAGCAAAAAGTGAATTTTTCTGTCCTTAAGCATGAAAATTTACATGCAAGAAAATTTAGAAGTCAGCCTGATCCTCAACAGAACTCCATAAACGCAAGCGCAAAGCTATACTCTCTGCTCTAACCACGCTGGTCTTTGAGGATAGAGGTTGCCATTGCCGAATTAACTCCACATCCTCAATATGTTTCTGATCTCTACCATCTAAGGCTGTTTATTGTATCGACTGAACAAGAAATAGCTAGGATTTAGAACCAGCTCAGTTCCTTATTCAGCAAAAACAGTGCACAATTGTAGATCTCTCCATCTTCAACCAACACCGAGCTTGATAACTTGTCCTTGTCATTCACAATGTAATTATACTCTATGTATCTACCGGGCTAAGATTGATGTCTATGTACATGGAAGAGATATCTGAAATGATGGAAAAAATCTAAGTACCACAGGTGGATAGCTATCCATCCACACTTGTCACCTAAATCCTCTTCTTCCTCTTCAAGCGTGAATAAATGCTGTAAACAACTAGCAGATCAAGAAGTAGGAGCATCCACCTCCGGTGACCCCTGCAACATGCAATCAACTTCTGCCTTTGATGTGAAGCAGTAAGGCAGAAGGGCATCCCCCGGGTTTGACACTTAAACTCTTCCACATCCACATGCTATTTCAGCCATTGGAGTCACTTGAAAGCCAGAATAATCAACCAAACAACCATTGAGCTTTTTCACTTTCAAGTTTCTATTTTGACCAATGAAATATTGTCTCTTTGCCTGCTCTAGGTGATTGCATGTTCAGTTCAACAATAAACTTGGCAATGCCACCGCCACTCTGTACAACTTATTGGATACTCCTGGTCTGTAGCCTAAGAGCAGCTCTTTTCACTCACTTCCAGTCACCTAACAAGTAACAGCTAATCTTTGTCCTCAAAACTCTGTATGTATTAGTCATTGCTATGTGAATATCACAACAGCTTTTGCTTATGTTCTGTATCAAATGAAAGGATGATTGATGGAATTTAATACCAAACTGTAAGCTGCTAAGCCTGAATGAGAGGAAGATAGAAAGGGGTTAACACTAAGTTTGGACCAGTACAAATAACAAACCTTCGAACCCTACAAGTCTAGTCCTTAATTCGGCCTACTAATAAGAGAGAATACTATGAGAAGAGCACGACCCAGCTAGGAAGATTGAAGCTCACTATCAAGCAACCATCCTAACCCTATCTAGCACAAGGAACAGGAGCACGAGCAGCATCTTAACCCACCATTTCAAAGACCAAATGCACACCACATGACAGAGATACCTATACTGTTCTCATGCCATCACAAGTCTCATCAACGTCAACTATCAGTCTATCACGAGTCGAAGGATTGATTACCTATACACCTGTTATCTCCGTTAAGGGTCAACCCATAAATGCAGCTATAAAAAATTGTTAGACTTACCAAAAGCAACCACCCTATAGCTACAAAAACCATATAGAGGACCTAGACACATAATTGATACGAACATCGGGGTCTAATCCCCTGGCTCATCTAGACTTTATTCAATCATATTGTCTTTTGCTCATCCACAGTGCTTTGGAGTTAATTTTCCCCACAAGGATTGAGGACCACCGGACCGCAAGCAGGTGGGAGCTCATTGGGCATGGTTATCAAAATCTGTTGTCCCTTTTTGAGTCAAAAAAGAAGCAGCAAGAGATCTGAGTTCACAATGACTAAGCTCATCACTAGTCAACATCATCAGTCAACTCTGAAGGAAGAGAGACAGACACTCAAAGGGCTTCACATAGATCATCAGCCCCCTTTTCCGGTCAGCAACTAGGAGTCTAGGACCGAGTTGGATCATCATCATACGTACCAAAGTTCAAAAGTGTTAAGCTGATTCAACATTTTCTCTTTCACCTATTACTTGGTTGCAATTTGAGAAAATGGTTTCCTTCTTTTTCTTTTACAAAAAATATGATATAATACCATAATGGCCCTACTGGTAACTACACAAAGTTCTAGTCTCAATCCACTGACTTGCACAACAACTTAAAGAAGAAAACCCACATTTTAAAGTGAGCTAGAAGTCTACATGTAGCACAAAAGAGAATAGGTTAGATATACATATCTGCTTAATAATTAAGTCATTTGTATCCACTTCTAGCACTCAATTACCAAGAATTAAATAATGGAAGAAACGAATGTCACAGAACAGAAGAATCAGTGATTACACCGCATTGCGACGCTGTTTATCAAACCAACTTTTAGTAGACATCAAGGCATTCACTAAATCTGGCTCCACGGATGTCATATCTCTATCAGGTTCACGCAAATCAGTGTAGTAAGAATCATAGCCTGTAACAAGAGACAATTGTATTGACAAAAGATCACGAGCCAACTTTGATAGGACAGGATATCGGGGACTTGCAGCTTTCCACCAACTCAGCACATCAAAGTTCTTGGTCCAAGGCACAATAGGTTCTTCCAGATAGCAATCAAGTTCTGACTTTGGTGGCTGACTAGTTGTTTGGATGAATTTGCTAAACTCATCTGAACAGTCAAATCCAAAACTAGGATCATTAACAACTTCCATTGGCTCAAGGAGATCTTCACTCGTACTGGATTCATCAGAAATGAGATCTTCACCCGTATCAGAATCTGAATCGCTCATAGGATACTCCATTGAGGACCTGTGCACCACATAGTCATCGAAAAGCCTTTGGATGGCCTCCAAAATAGATGATAGCGGTAAAAGATCATTACCTTCATACTTCAAGAAACAGAACTCTAAGTACTTCACTTTGTAGCGTGGATCCATAATAGTAGTTAGAGCCAACACCAAATACATATGCCTCCAATACTTGCCAAACTTTTTCAGCATAATATTGGCTAAATTTCTAGCAAATTCATCTGAACTCACAGAATCTTTCATCAGATTAAATCGAAGCTTATTAAGATTGTGGAAGTAAAGGCCTGCACTGGGTCGTTTTTCCATAAATAACACTTCTGCTGCAGTATAGACATGTCCTACAAGTTTACATACTCCCTTAACTTTTTCCCACTCTTGGGGAGAAGGTATATCATAATCCTTATAATCATCTTTTTTCAAGTATTCTCCTTTTGCCTCTAATTCCAATGCTTCCTGTAGTTTATGAAATGTCACATTCCACACTGGTGGTGATTTGCCCCAAAATACTATGAGACGAATGTCACTGATTATATCCTCTATCATTCCAAATGCTTTTTTCACCATTGAACTAAAAATGTCTGCATTACAAGATACACGAAAAAATTGTCCATCTAGCTGGAGTCTTTTCTTTTCAAGAAGTTTACTTTTAATGACATCAACAATCTCATCAAAGTCCAGATAGCTATGCACAGTGACAGCACATATTTTATCTTCAATACCAAAATCTGAAAGACACTGAATCGTCTCACCAACATAATCTCCATACGCATCAAGAGACCTAAAACTAACAACCCAACTTCTTAGCTTCCAGTCTTCGTCAATGAAATGAACTCTTAAGCAAATGAAATCAGAAAAAGATCCTCCAAAATCTGAGGTAGACCAGTAGCCAAAGTCATTGAATTTGTTATATTTTAGCCTCTCAACTGAGAGGCTAACTCGTCCATTCAAGCTTCTCAAAATTTCTTTAACTTTTGCTTTCTCTTCATCATACAATTTCAAGCAATACCGTGAGAGAATGGCAGATGAAGGACGAAATTTAGGATTAAGATAACTTATTAATTGTTTGAAGTACCTATCTTCTACTGACTTTGGAGGTGTACCGGATTGACAGAAAAACTTTGCCAAACCACGATAAGCTGTTTCTTCAAAGATAACCTGCTCCTCCCCAATATTAGTACTGCTCTCATCCCTAAGATTTGCATTTCTTGGTCCACATTCATGACTTTTCACCTTCCTTGATACATCTGGAAAGCAAAATAAAGAACCATTTTACAGGCTATTTGGTTGGAGAGATAATGAAAAATAATGCAAGCATAACGTTCCATATAAAATAATAGTATTTGGGTGGCAGATTAGGAAAATAATCTGAATAACTTATGCAGTTTTTGGTTGACTGTATAAGAAAAAAAACAACCGCCGCATAACTAATCTAATGGCTGACGATAATAAATAATAGTCGCATTAAGTTATGCGAATTGTTATATTAATTTATACAAGATAGAATGTGAAAAATAAACTTGTTAGCAATACAAAGATAAAAGTATTTAAAGACAAAAGTGTAATTAAAGTAAGTAATCCCAACATTATATTCCATGTATTACTATTCACCACATAATAACTCCTAGACTATTCACTGAATAATAATCACTTCTAGTTTTATTCACAGCAAAAAAAATCTTGGATTATTTATTCACATAACTACTATGCGCACCAAATGACATGTTAATGTGTAGCAACACTCACTTTATGAGAGTGGGAGATATGACAGTGGAAACCAAGTAAATCAAGCAAACGAGAAGAAGAATACCTCCAGGAAAGAAGTCATGGAGTGTTTTCCGCTTTCCGTTAGTCATTTCAAGTTCATAAACTGCACTTGAGATTAATCAAATTAGAAGGTTGAAACATATAAGATTTCACATTTCATATGCGGGTACAGTATCAAAATTTGCTCAAATTGAAAGTTCTTTTCTTCAACTTTCTTCTATTTCAGACAGTTTCTCTGTGGGATTTTATCCAAAGAACAAATATATTGCATGAAATGTGGCATGATATGAGCACCGAACTCCATTATGGATTTGACATGGGCATGGTCAATTTTTAAGACTATTTTGGAAAAACTATATGAAGTACCACTACTTGTGTTCATCCATTTTTAGGTGAGTACGCTTAAGAAGATGAAGAGTCAATCCCTCGATAAAACACTACTTTTGTATGATTTATTAAGTTTAAAAGACTGTACCTCACACCAGTCTGAATGAAGTAATTAAATTCCATTGACTATAACATACACATTCTTAAGTTAAAAATGTCCAAAGGTGAAGATGGAAGTATGGGATCCACAACAAAGGTTACTTGAAAGTGGTGGCTAATGATCCTGTATCAATTCCTTCTACTGTTTATCTATCCATAAAAAATCATGTAACACATTTTATTTTTTGAAGAGTCAAGTTGAGTAATCATCATTTAAAACACCAGTAATCACTTATTAATTTAAAACAGAAATTCATTTATTCCGAAGTTACGCCTAAATTGTATAAGCTTCAGTAATATCAATTAGCTACACCTTATCAATATCCTTCAATTTGGAGTCTCACATCGGTGGGACAAGGACTTCTCGGTCTCCTTATTTGGTCTTGGGCAATCCTCCCCTCATGAGCTAGATTTTGGGGTTGAGTTAAGCCCATAACCCATTCTTTACCATGATATCATAGTTATACTCATCCCAATTCATTATTTCCAATGTTGGCTCCCCGGGGTTGTTGGAGTCCCACATTTGTGAGACAGGGTTTAAATGATCTTGGACAATAGCTAGCTTTTTGAGTTGAGTTAGATCCAACATCTATTTCTTTATCAACCTACCACAACTCTTCTTTATACATCTTGATACCAACTAGTTATTTGCTAATATTATTATTTTATAATAGTAGTATCCATCCGAGCTTGCATGCAACTCAATTAATTCCACAAGATACATGTCACCTCCCACCAGTAACAAGATAACTCTGTCTACCAAGGCTAGATCAGACGGAAAGAAATCACCAAGTGTTTTGTCTATGCTGGAAATTGAACCTGATAGACCTCATGGTGCTTAACCTCTCTCCGGTGCAGTTATTTGCTAATCTCGGTTAAAACTTTCACATTAAATTGAAAATAGAAACTCACAAATTATACTAATCAGATGTGGGTTTAACTCAACAAAAAAAACAAGTAGAAACACAAATCACCGACGAAGTCACTTCTCCTTTTTTATTCGTTTTTTGTTTTTGTTTTTACGATTGAACAAGCTTGAGAGTTCAAATGCTAATCAAAATCCAAATGATGATTTAGAGTAACGTAAATTTATCAACTATGTTCTCACTCCCCAATGGAAAAATACTACTCCAACCCAAATTTACCCCTTTTTAAGTGTAGAACCCTAGGAGTTAGGAGAACAGCAGCAATAAGTTCATATAAACAAACGAGATGGAGATTTATTACAAAGAACAGAGATGACTTACCTGCTTTTATGGAGAAAGAGAGCTTTGTCAATGCAGAGTTATGGTGTCTCTACTCATATTCATGCGTCCATTTTCGCCCGGGAAAATATGAAGAGCCGCCACCCAATTTATAAAAGAAAAATTGCTGACACACCAAATATATGTTTCTTTCTTTCTTCTTTTTTTTTTTTTTTTTTCGGTCGAATTGCAAGAGTAGTGCCTAAGATTTGATCTTGGAACCTAAGTTGAGTTTTGAACCCCTCAACCACTTAATCAACCTCTAATCTTATATTTACGAGGTTCAAAATCAATATATAGACATAAAAAGTTTTAAAAGTATCTTAAATATACAATATAATTTTTGCCAAGGAGGTTCGGGTGAACCCCTCGGCGACATATAGGTCCGCCCTTGATTTGGAGTGCACGTTAAAGCTCCAATTTAATTTGAATAGTTCACTGCATGATCTATCGAGGTGTGTAAACCCTAAAACTCTAGTTAAGACTGAAGCAATTTATCATTGTACCACAACTCATGTTGGTTAAACATATACATAACTTCTATTTACTCAGAATAGTGAGAAATTACAAAAATTATATAGCTAGAGTTTGGATTTGGAAAAAAATCAGAAATATATAATTAACTAATTTACATGGTAAAAGAATAGTTTAAAACTTACCTTATAAATCTTTAGTCAAAACACAATTCGGTATAGAACTTTATATATTTAATATACAATAACATACATAATTTTTATATTTTAATTTTTTACAAAAACGTTTTCAAACTTGATATACAGTATTATACACTAAATATACAATATTATACAAAACTCTAATAGACATAACATATATATTATACATTATTATACAAAATAAAAATAAAAATATATATATATATATATACTTTATCTTCTTCCTTAAATTCATCCATGTGATTCATCCAAAAACACATCTAAAACTACACCAAATCACCCAAAAATTATATTTCGACTTCTTAATACGTAATCGATCGTTTGCAAAAATAACAATTTGAAACGAAAGTTATTTGCGAAAATCCACATTTCAGATTTTGAAGCTTCGAGCTTCAATAAATGATTGTCGATGGCTCCAACGAAATGTCAATAGTACTTGACAACTTCAATAATGTATAGAGAAATTTTTTGTTGGGAGTACCACCCCCGAAATGGACCCTACAGTGCATGATCAAATTTAGTCGTGGCTCCAATGCAGGCACTAAATGCTAAGTGGGAATATTTTTTAAAAAAAGAGAGAACTTCAATAACAGTGATAAACCAATGAATAAATATGTAAACTTCTTCGTCATTATCTATCACTCGACTCTCTCTCTCTATATATATGGGATCATTCATTTCACTCCAACACAAGTAAAATAAATAAATTAGTTTATTAATGTCTCTGACACAGCTGCAATATAGTCACCTTTCATTATAGAAATCGCCAACGACTTTGCTATTACCGAATTTCTATAATAATAATAATAATAAATCATATTTGAGAAATTTAAAGATGGACAGAGAATGAAATTCGCGAAAATATATATATTAGAGAGAGAATGTGTGTTTTGGGTGTGTAGAGAAAAGACAGGAAATAGAGATATTAATAAGTTAGTGACTAAAGTTATTAAAAAAATTGGCCCATTTTGGCAATGTACTTGGGTTAATTGTTATATTGTAATAGTATTTCTTCTTATTGCACAACATTTCCACCTAGGACCCTCCTCCCAAAAAAATAAAAGTATAATGGCTTAAAATTATAATTGACCTAAGTACATTGTTAAGATGACTAATTTCTTTAAGACTTTATCAAATTTAATTATTAACCTATTAATATCTTTATTTCCTATCTTTTTCAAGTGATCGTTTGTTGATTTACTTTATCACCATTTTTTTGGTAGATAATCAAAGGGATATTTAGGTATTTACTAATTTGCTATGTTGAATTGTCATCTATGTTTTTTTACTTTTTGGGAAATATACCATAAAGTACCATTCAAGATAAATAGAATAAAAATAAATAAATATTTAGGTTGAGGCACGAATATCACATTTTTAAAAGAGAAAATTTAACATAATAAACATAATAAGGTTCTATAGCTATAGTTTATATAATTGCGCTCTATAGCTATTGTTTCATTTGCTATGGAGGTTGCGTTTGTATATTTCGCTTGCAAATATACAAATAGAGTATATACACTCTGTATTTATACATTTAGGAATTTTTTCAGAACTCTGTTTATATATTTCGCTTGCGAATATACAAACAGGGTAATTTATTGTGAATTTTTCATAAATCATGTACAAATAGCTAGGGCAATCATATACAAATTCTGGATTGATACAATTAGGAACCGAATTATACAAAATTATGATTTCTACAATCAGACGAATTACACAATTTTAGGCGAATTATACAAATTAAACAAATAGCAAGATTTGGAGAAACTATAGCTACAAAGCACACTTTTCCAAAATAGTAGCTATATCATTTAATATCATTTAAATGTTTGTTATTCTGCACACTTTTTTCCTTTTTTAATAGAGATTCAAGTCCACTGTAATATAATCTAAATTGATCTAACAATACTACTCTTGACTTATATCTTTCAGGATATAACAATCCAATAACGACATATAACTTAAACAATTTCGAATTAGTTGATGTATCTAAAGCTTCACCATAATAATACATTCCTTCAACATAAACTTGCTCTCTTTTCTATAGTAAATAAGCTAGAGACTTGAAATATCTTTGTCTCAATTCTCTCTTCACTACACTAACCTCAAAATATAGTATTTCTCAGCTTTCTTCTACAAATAATATCAAAATGTAAATAGTCATCTGAAAATTAGTGGGAGATAATGAGAAGAGCATGTCATTATAGTTGTAAAAATTATAAAAAATAATAATACCATTCTTCACTTTATGCCTATTAATTATCATGCACTTAATATTTTTATTTCTAATATTAAAATGCACAATAACACTAACATGAGACTCTTAAAGTGAACCTTTTTTTAAAAATCAGTTATCACTACTTATGTTTTACTCCCTTCCATTTGTTTGACTTATGACTAATGAGATTTGACATTTTTGATTTTTCTCCACTAAAGTAGTACTACTTTGTGTTAATATAACCGCACCATTATAATAAGTTGTGATGTTATTTACACTTTATTAATTTCTTTGTGCTTGTATAAGTCAAAGAAATTTATTTTATTCATATGCACTAAGATGACCCTAGAAAAGTATATATATGATGGGATGGAATATTTTATTTTGAAGAAGGGATAAAAGAATTTCAAGTTGAATGAGATACTCCCTTCGTCCCTCTTTAGTTATTATAATTTTCTTTTTAGAGTCAAACGGTAAGAATTTTGATTAATATTTTATGATATTTTTTTTCATCATATCGATATGCAAAAAATTACACTTTATAGTACTTTTCGTACAATTTTTGGATATTTAAATTTTTAGTTAAAAATATTGATTTAATATATTTATTTAAAAATTAGTCAAATTGACTTTCGAAAAACGTAATATGACAATTAAAAGGAGACGGAGGAAGGAAGATGAAATATATCATGAAATAAATTCATACCGTCAACCAATAACAATATATGTTTTATCCAAACTTAATTATGAAATATTTCACCTCATCCACGTATCAATCTATTCATAAGTGTATAACTCAGCACATTTAAATACAAAACAATAGGGAAAAAGCATAAGTTTATTTGAGCACTTAAAACACCAAAAACAAAATCAATAGATCAAATAATTTGTTTTCTTTAGTTCAAAATTAAATGCTATGTTATAATAGCATTATAGCAGCCCATTTAGACTGATTAAAGTCAACAAGGGCACCTCTAACTTGCCGTTGTGGGTTTGGCAGTGGCACATAACAATATTTGACATGTGAATTAAATAATATAAAACATTATCAAAACTATAGTTTATTTACATTATTTTCAAATTCCAACACCTTAATATAATTATATTAAATGAGTATTTTAGCAGACATCTCCCTAGAGTGGCTGGTACATCACTTACATATTCGATGTTTTCTGTGTGAAATTTATATATTATAAAATATATTTTTTGATTTTAAGAGGATTTTTTTTCAGATTTTAAATCTTTATTTAATAAGGGGAAAATCCCAATCATCCCACTAAAATTCATATCGATGTGAGTCTACTTAAGTTTTTTTTTCTTTCGATATTCAATATTCACATTATGATTTGATTAATTCTGAATTTACATTGAAAAGTTCTATATTAAGGATAAAATACTTTCTAACAAAAACAATTTCATATTCAGAGAGAGTATCTATAGAACTTTTCAATGTAAAATCAAATTTACTTAATATAATGATCAACTAATATGAAACGAAATGGAAATTTCCAAAAGAAAAATCCCCTTCTTTGTCTTTGTGAAAGTATTTTTTTATTTTTTTGAGTCAATCATGGCAGAGTACCTTTCAAAGTTCACGTGCAACTGTAACATTAACTCTGTACTATGCACTTAAATTACAAACAGCACTTGGAAAATATTTCTCTCAGATTCCCTCAAAAATAAAATTTAGGAAAAATGTAAAATGAAAAAAAGAAAAGAAACCTTCTATTTCGTTATTAAAAAAATTAAACAATAATTTGTTTGGTAGAGAGAAAACAATTATTGCAAAATATTTTTTGTTTTTTTCTGGGAAACAAAATAATTTTTTAAAAATAAATAAATATATAATGTGGGAAGAAATAAATTTTATAACTGACACTCACCTTTAATATTTATTTCACATGTGTCCGCCTCTGCAGCCTCCTATCACTAAAAACACCCCACCTACTAATTCTCCATCACTTTCACGTCTCTGTCATTATTTGTTAACTAAAATAACCTATATAAATTAAGTTTTTTCTAATAAATAACATATATGAGTATTTGTTTTAAATTTTGATAATAATTTTTATTTTAAAAAAATATTTTAATAAATAACATGATTGAATTATAATTAACTACATGCAAAAAATAGTTTTA